TACAAAAAAGTTTTGTTACAACCCCGGGGCTTATTAAACAAGCCTGGGGTGTTCCATTGGTTTGCTGTCACGTTTGTAGGAACCTGATTCCTGATTTCTTAGAAACGAATGATAGATACAAGGTCAGAGAGCGCGCCAGCTCACGGGCCTCCAATCCCGGGCACTTTGGCCACAGAGACGGGGCAGAATCACCTGGGTCAGAGCCGAAGGACCCAGCCTTACCAACATGGTGAGACCACCGTCTTACTACTACAGAATACAAATTAGCGGGCGTGTGCGCGTGCCGAATGCGGCCACGCTGACAGGGAGCTGGGATAGGGAGAATTGCTTGAACCAGGAGTGGAGGGTTTGCAGTGAGCAGGCAGATCGCCCGGCCTGACGGTGCACTCCGCGGTGGGCAAAACAGGAGCGGGACGGTACTTGTCTCAAAAAAAAAAAAAAGTGACAGTACTAATTGTTTTTCACCAAGAAGGGTAGTCATCTCCTCAGATGGTTTTAATGCCTCCCTATGATCTGATGGTGTGTTCTTGCCCCCAGGCAGATATCATTTTGTGGGATTATAAGAAAAGAGAGCTGCTTGCTCGGCTGTCCCTTCACAAGGGCAAAATTGAAGCTCTGGCCTTTTCTCCAAATGATTTGTACTTGGTATCACTAGGAGGCCCAGATGACGGAAGGTAATGAACTAAACATATTTACTTATTTTCTTTATTTTTTTTTTTAACTTTTATTTTAGGTTCAGAGGTACATGTGCAGGCTTTTTATATAGGTAAACTTAAGTCACAGTTATACAGATTATTTCATCAACCAGGTGCTCAGCCTAGTACCCAGTAGTTATTTTTTGTGATCCTCTCCCTCCTCCCACCCTCCACCCTCAAGCAGGCCCCAGTGTCTGTGTTCCCTTCTATGCGTTCATGTGTTCTCATCATTTAGCTCCCACTTATAGATAAGAGCATGTGGTATTTGGTTTTCTATTCCTCCATTAGGTTGCTAAGGATAATGGCCTCCAGCTCCATCTACATTCCTGTAATGGACATGATCTCATTCTTTTTTATGGCTGTGTAGTATTCCATGATGTATATGTACCACATTTTCTTTATCCAGTCTACCATTGATGAGCATTTAGGTTGATTCCATGTCTTTGCTATTGTGAATAGTGCTGTGATGCACATACAATCAGATATGTCTTTATGGTAGAATATGTATATTCCTTTGAGTATGTAGCCAGTAATGGGATTGCTGGATTTAATGATAGTTCTGTTTGTAGCTCTCTGAGCAATCACCAGCCTGCTTTCCACAATGGTTCAACTAATCTACACTCCCACCAACAGTGTATAAGCATTCCCTTTTCTTTGCAACCTCGCCAGCATCTGTTATTTTTTGACTTTTTAATAATAGTTGTTCTGACTGATATGAGATGGCTATCTCACTGTGGTTTTGATTTGCATTTCTCTAATGACCAGTGATATTGAGCCTTTTTTCCTATGCCTGTTGGCTGCATGTATGTCTTCTTTTGCAAAGTGTTCACGTCCTTTGCCTGCTTTATAATGGGGTTTTTGTTTTATCTTATAAATTTATTTAAGTTCTGTACAGATGCAAGATACTCTCTCAGATGTCAAGTGTGCAATATTTGCGTATTTTCTGCCAGGTGTATTTCCAGAAGTGACAAGGGTCCTGTCCCCTCTAATGTTCTCTCTTGGCCCGTCTATATTTCAGTGTGCATTGTCTGAAAAGCCTCTGAGAAAAATACCCTAAAAGAGTGGTTTTCGAACTTGGCTGCTTGTTGAAATCACCCGGGCAGCTTTAGGGAATCACTGGTGCCTGGGTGTGCCTTCAGAGAGTCCAATTTGATTGGCCTGAGCTCTAAGAGTTATATAAGCTTCCCAGTACTGTGTTGAACAAAAGTGGCCAGAGTGAGCATCTGTAAGGAACATGGCTGTGCTTTGGTCAAGGAGAGGCCAAGGAAGGATGTTTACATCCTGCGTGACTCAGCAAGTTTAGAGCGCAGGCGTATAATTCCACTGCTAACACAGGCCTTGTAGCCGTAACATGGGAAAGGCCATCACTTGGCTCTACACCACTATTATCTGTTAAAGGTATAATTGTCCTGTGGACACTGTGCAGGTGCCCTGGCGGCCAGAGAAAAAGAGAGAGAGCCAGAGCTGTCCATCTTTGCAGATGGACAAAGGGGAGCCAGGACACAGCTCAGCTCACTCGTGCCCAGAGAGACAAAGAGTTAAGCTGCTGACCCTGAAGCCAGGGTAGAGCTGGCTGCGCAGCTGTATGTGGGAGCTGCCAGCTCAAGAAGCACAGGCAGGGCGGACAGTGTGAGAAAGCTGTTGATGAGAGCTGCTGCTGAATAAAATCATCTTCCACCTGCCTACAGTCCCCAAGTGTTCTTCCTGCTCATCCACCCACTCCCCTCGGACTTCAGCATGGGCTGGACCCGGACCCTGGGATCTGACAGCATCCATATCTTGTTTCAGGTCTTAGTGGAAAGGCTTTCAATTTCACCCCATTCAGTGTGATATTAGCTGTGGGTTTGTCATATAAGGTCTTTATCATGTTGAGGTATGCTCCTTCCATATTCCATACCCAACGGAATATTTTTTTAGCCACAGAAAAGAATTTTTTTTTTGAGATGGAGTTTTACTCCTGTTGCCCAGGCTGGAGTTCTATGGTGCAATCTCAGCTCACCGCAATCTCTGCCTCCCAGGTTCAAGCAATTCTCCTGCCTCAGCCTCCCGAGTAGCTGGGAGCTGGGATTACAGGCATGCATCACCATGCCTGGCTAATTTTGTAAATTTTTTTTTTTTTTTTTTTTTTTTTTTTTCAGTAGAGACAGGGTTTCTCCGTGTTGGCCAGGCTGGTCTCAAACTCCTGACCTCGGGTGATCCACCCGCCTCAGCCTCCCAAAGTGCAGGGATTACAAGTGTGAGCCACCGTTCCTGGCCAAGACTTTTTTTCTTTTTTTTTTAAGAATGAGCTATTGTCATTGCAGCAACATGAATGTAACTGGAGGTGATTATATTCAATGGAATAAGCCAGGCATAGAAACAAGTATCTCATGTTCTCACTCATATCTGGGAGCTAAGAAAAGTAGTTCTCACAGAGGGAGAGAGTGGTTAGCAGAGCCTGGGAAGCGAAGGAGGTGGGGGGATAAGAGAAGTTGGTTAATAGGTACATACATACACTTACATAGAAAGAATACATGCTAGTATCCAATCATACGGCAGGAAAATGATAGTTAATAATTCGGTGAATATTTCAAAATAGCCAGAAGAATTGTAATATTCTCAACAGAAAGATAAACGTTTGAGGTGATGGATATCCCAACCACTCTGATTTGATCATTGCACATTGTATACAGGTATCAAAATATCACTGTATCCCACAAATATGTACAGCTCTGGTGTAGCTGTAAAAAAGTGTCCCAGATGATTCTAACGTGCGTTAGATATGAGATCCATTGCTGAAAAGAAGGACACCATCCCCATCATCACTGTCATGAAAGACAACAGCTACATTTTTAAAGCACTTACCACGTGGCAGGCATGACCTGAAGGTTTTTATTGCATCATCTAAATTAAGTCCCACATCAGTTTCAAGAGGTGGAAGCTATCGGTGCCAGGTGACAAGTAAGGAGCCAGCTGCTGAGTGACAGACCTAGAAGACAAACCCTAGCAGCATGACTCCAGAGGCTACGCCTTCAGCTTGCATTGCCAAGACGTGATCTTTGCCCTTGAGTTAACTCACAGTCAAGTTGGTAGGCAGAGAACAGAAAGGAAACTGAAAAAAAAGAAGTATATTTAAAGTATATTAGGAAGAACTGGCCAGGTGTGGTGGCTCACACCTGTAATCCCAGCACTTTGGGAGGCCGAAGCAGGCAGATCACCTGAGGTAAGGAGTTCGAGACCAACCTGGTCAACCTGGTGAAACGCTGGCTCTACTAAAAACACAAAAATTAGCCGGGCGTAGTGCCGGGACCTGTAATCCCAGCTACTTGGGAGGCTGAGGCAGGAGAATCCCTTGGACCTGGGAGGCAGAGGTTGCAGTGAGTGAAGATTGCACCACTGCACTCTAGCCTGGGTGACAGAGCAAGACTCCAGCTAAAAATAAATAAATAAAAAAACAAACAAACAAAATATATTAGGAAGAACAATCAATGCAGTACATATTCCTATGTAAATGTCAAAGGAACACAATCTGTAGAAGAAAAATAATAACACCTGAGGTTTGTATGGGATTTAATACTTCAGTACACTTCTATGTATATTTTCTTATTTGAGCTTCATAGGTTTATTACAAAGGAAATTTATATTTGTGTATAGTTACATAACGATAATCCTTCTCTTACTATATAGCAAGTCAACAAAATTTTCATGAGATTTCCTCTTTTTCTTGTCATTCATCAGTGGTCACCCCTTCCCTGGCCCATTACCACTTGACTGTTTCTGATAAGAAATGTATTGGCCAGGTGCGGTGGCTCACGCCTGTAATCCCAACACTTTGGGAGGCCAAGGCAGGTGGATCAACTGAGGTCAGGGGTTTGAGACCAGCCTGGCCAACATGGCAAGACCCCATCTCTGCTAAAAATACAAAAATTAGCCGGACATGGTGACAGGCACCTGTAATCCCAGCTACTCAGGAGGCTGAGGCAGGAGAATTGCTTGAACCTGGGAGGCGGAGGTTGCAGTGAGCCAGGGTCATGCCATTGCACTCCAGCCTGGGGACAAGAGTGAGACTCTATCTCAAAAAAAAAAAAAAAAAAAAAACAAAACAGTAAAAAGAAATGTATCCAGAAATCCTCTGTTAATGTTCTTAGCTCAACTTTTTTTTTGCAAGCAGTAAAAGGCTTGTTTTATTTTAATGACTGATCTATGTAATCATCAAGACTGCTATCTACAGACAAGAAATGGGGAGCTTCTATTTCTTAGTCTCTTCCTCCTTGGACAAGTCTTGATCTTCTCCTTCTTGGCCCAGAGATGCTCTTCACGGCACTTGTGTACTTCCTTGGTCTTAGATCTGTGGGCCTTAGCCTGGTCAACCGGGACCTTCTTGCAGGCTTCGTCTGCCATCAGCTGATGGATATGTTCCATGAGAATCCAGTTGTTTTTTGAACACATTCCCCTCCACCTTCAGGTAGAGGCTGTGATACGTGTGGTGATCAATCTTCTTGAATCCACAGTATCTTCAGAGCAGGTGGCGCAGAATCCTCATTCTCCTCATCCAGGTTACTTTCTCTGGCAAACGGCTGCACCCTTTGGCTTACCTATGCCCATGTGTCTGCCCTTCTGGCGGGCCAAGGTGTTTTCCCAGCATCCAGCCAGGGAATGGACAGTCACAGGCTTATGGATAATTAGCCCGTCTTTGATCAGCTTCCAGATCTGCTGGTGGGAGTTGGCCTTGGCAATTTCACTGGTCTCACTGGGATCCAACTAGACCTTCTTGGCACTAGAGGAAAGCCCCGTCTAAAGCCTGAGCATCCTCACGGCTTTGGCCACTGCAGTAAAAGGAAAGAGTTCCAACATCCTTTGCTCAACTTAAAGCAGTTATTCTCAACCTTTGGTGCACACTGAAATCACCTAGAAAGATTTAAAAAACACTGATGCCTGGGTCCCACCCCCAGAGATTCTTGGAGCTAGGTCATTAGGCCACCCCCATCCCACCCCCTGTCAAAGAGACTAGGTCTTGGGGGGGAAAATGGCCCCTTAACCAAGGTTAATCTGGCAAAACTGTTAATCTCCTCTATAATTTTAAGCTGCCTAAAAGTTGCTTGCAGAACATTCGAGAATGTTGAAAAGCCAAAAGAAAGAAAAGAAAACAAACCTGGCTGTACTAAAAAATGCAATATGCCCAGCCCTGGATAGTGTCTGTGGTGAGAAGGGTGGAGTTCTGCTGACTGTTTGCATAGTCAGGGGATCAACCCTGAATGGATGGCAGGGGTTTATTCTACCCAACCCATCTAGCTTCTACACAGAGGAAAAGAAACAAAAGGGAAGCTGCCAATTATAGTGGACATCCTATAGTTTTCATGCCTTTTTTTTTTTTTTTTTTTTGAGATAGAGTTTCACTCTTGTTGCCCAGGCTGGAGTACAACAGCACGATCTTGGCTCACTGCAACCTCTGCCTCCTGGGTTCAAGTGATTCTCCTGTCTCAGCCTCCCAAATAGCTGGGATTACAGGCATGCACCCCACCACGCCTGGCTAATTTTGTATTTTTAGTAGAGACGGAGTTTCTTCATGTTGGTCAGGCTGGTCTCGAACTCCCGACCTCAGGTGATTCACCCTCCTCGACTTCCCAAAGTACTGGGATTATAGGCGTGAGCCACTGCTCCCGGCCTGCATGTATCTTTTAAATTTTGTAACCTATTTATGAAACTTTTGGCACTGATGTCATCATGGTATTCATGTTGTAATGCAACCTGCTTTTTGACTAACTTTATACCACGGACATCTATGTACGTACACGTAGATATAGATCTCATTCTTTGCCATAGTAGCATAGTATTCCATTGTACAGATATGCTGGAATCTATTTGGCCAGCTCTCTATGTTGGTGCCCTTTGTTTTATCTATTTTTAAAACAAATTTGTTTTGTGCTTGTTGCCACACAGCCTAGGCAACAAGAGCAATGGCTCACACCTGTAATCCAAGCACTTCGGGAGGCCAAGGCGGAAAGGATCCCTTAAACCTAGAAGTTCAAGAGTAGCCTGATTCTCCTGCCTCAGCCTCCTGAGTAGCTGGGAACTACAGGTGCACTCCACCACTTCTGGCTAATTTTTTTATTTTCAGTAAAGATGGGCTTTCACCATGTTGGCCAGGTTGGTCTCAAACTCCTGACCTCAGGTGATCCACCCGCCTCGGCCTCCCAAAGTGCTGGGATTACAGGTGTGAGCCACCGCACCCGGCCAACATTCGAAACCATCCTGGCCAACATGGTGAAACCCCGTCTCTACTAAAAATACAAAAATTACCCGGATGTGGTGGTGCGTGCCTGCAGTCCCAGCTACTCGGGAGGCTGAGGCAGGAGAATCGCTTGAATCCAGGAGGCGGAGGTTGCAGTGAGCCGAGATGTTGCATTGCACTCCAGCCTGGGCAACAAGAGCGAAGCTCCATCTCAAAAACAAACAACAACAACAACAACAACAAAAAACTTTTTTTTTTTTTTTTTGAGACGGAGTCTCGCTCTGTCGCCCGGGCTGGAGTGCAGTGGCCGGATCTCAGCTCACTGCAAGCTCCGCCTCCCGGGTTCACGCCATTCTCCGGCCTCAGCCTCCCGAGTAGCTGGGACCACAGGCGCCCGCCACCTCGCCCGGCTAGTTTTTTGTATTTTTTTTTAGTAGAGACGGGGTTTCACCGTGTTCGCCAGGACGGTCTCGATCTCCTGACCTCGTGATCCGCCCGTCTCGGCCTCCCAAAGTGCTGGGATTACAGGCTTGAGCCACCGCGCCCGGCCAACAAAAAACTTTTAATGTGTCACTGTTGTGTCTTCTAATGGGGAGACCCCCGTCTCTACAAAAACTGAATTTTAGCCAGGTGTGGTGGTGTGTGCCTGTAGTCCCAGCTACTTGGGGGATGTGGTTGAGGAGATGTTGGGGTGGGGTAATTTCGTTGTTCGTTTTTAAGTAACCTAGTGTGGTTTTTTTTCTTTCTAGAACCACTAAGATCGTTGTTTCTTATTTTGAAAGCCTGTTTTCCCTTTGACTTTTTTTTTGTCCTTCTTATTTCGGCAGTGTGGTGGTGTGGAGCATAGCCAAGAGAGATGCCATCTGCGGCAGCCCTGCAGCCGGCCTCAATGTTGGGAATGCCACCAATGTCATCTTCTCCAGGTGCCGCGATGAGATGTTTGTGACTGCTGGAAAGTACGTGTCTGCCTTCTGCGTTTTCAGAACTCATACCTTGCTTTATTTTCTTGCACAGAAAACGTGGTCATTTTGATCTGGGGGAACGTGTCTTTAGTCCTGGATAAATACCTTACATCATAGTTTTTGTGTTTTTGTACTCATTAAAAGTTCTCTTCGCTGGAAGTCTTTTAACTACAGTTATTTTAAAATTCTGTGATTACTGATGAAAAGATTTTGCTTACCTGCTTAACTGTTCTCAGGTGCTTGTTTGTGACGGGATTATCTCCAATCCATGCTCACAGAAATAATTTGCACAATTGCACAGATTCACCCACTGATGGATGTTTCTTTCCACCTGCTCTTGACTGGGGTCTCATAATCTGATAGTTTGCAAATGAATTCTGCCAGGAAGTTTCAGATGGTTAGACTGTTAGCCATATAAGATAATTACAGGCAGGATCAGCTTTAACCAGCTAATGGTGACCCAGCTCAAAGTTTGAACACAGGCCAGTATCTGCCTAAGGGAGGGAATAAATTAATTTACAGATTCACTAATTAGAACGCTGTTTGGAGGTTTTTTTTTTTGTTTTTTTTTTGACAGTGTTTTGCTGTGTCACCCAGGTTGGAGTGCAATGGCATGGTCTTGGCTCACCGCAACCTCCACCTACCAGATTCAAGCGATTCTCCTGCCTCAGCTTCCCAAGTATCTGGGATAACAGGCACCCCACACCTGGCTGATTTTTGTATTTTTAGTAGAGACAGGGTTTCACCATGTTGGCCAGATTGGTCTCCAACTCCTGACTACAGATGCCTGTTTGGAGTTTGAAGGGAAGGTTAAACAAGAATTTAAAAAATCCTTTTTTTGGGGGCCGGGCACGGTGGCTCATGCTTGTAATCCCAGCACTTTGCGAGGCCAAGGTGGGCAGATCACGAGGTCAGGAGATCGAGACCATCCTGGCTAACAGGGTGAAACCCCGTCTCTACTAAAAATACAAAAATTAGCCAGGTGTGGTGGCGGGCGCCTGTAATCCCAGCTGCTCAGGAGGCTGAGGCAGGAGAATGGCCTGAACCCAGGAGGCGAAGCTTGCAGTGAGCGGAGATCGCACCCCTGCACTGCAGCCTGGCAACAGAGCAAGAATCCGTCTAAAAAAAAAAAAAAAGAAGAAATCCTTTTTAAATGTGTATATACCAGTCCAAAGGGAAAGAAATCAGAAAATACAGAGTTGAAGTACGTGTTCGGTAGAACTATTTTTTTTCAACCCATGTGTGGCCTCCCATCTGGGAAAGGTACACGTGGTTGGTTACCTTTTCAGCCAGAGAAGAGAATTTGTGCAGCTCCCCATCTGTATTGTTTCCTGTCCCCGCTTTATGATATGCAACTTACATTTGCTCCATGGCTAATCCTGAGGAACGATTCATCCAGAGGAGAGGCCATGGAGCTAATGAAGCTAATTGACCAAGCAATCTAAAGCAACTGACTGGGGGCTGTGGCGGCGCTCTTCAACTTTGTTCAGGTTTGCAGAGCGATTTGACTCAGCCAGGGTTTCATGAAGCTCTTTCTGCTCCTTAGCAACCCCTTCAGCAGCAGGCCTGGGTCCATTCTGATGTCCATGAGCAACGTTTCTTCAGGACTCAAATCTTGAATTTTATATAAAAGAAGTTTTTTAGGGCAATCTGCATTCTGTGTCTGGCTTGATTTCATGTGACACTGAGAACTGAGAAAGTGAGCGTTCTTAAGTAAAATGTTTGACAGGGCACCTACGTATGCCGGGCTCTCTAACTTGGTCCCAATGCCATGTGTTCCACCATATTGTCCCCACGAGATAGCCTGCAAGTTTCAGTATTTCAGAATCCAAAGAACATCTACCAGGAAGACCGTGAAAAAAGCTCTTTGTTTTTTTTTAAAAAAAAAAGTTCAGTACGTTTAAAATATGTCTGAGTGCTTACTATATATACATAACTCTGGGAGCTAAAAAACAAAAAGAAAAACTATATATATACACACACACACACACATAGTTATATATGTATGTGTGTGTGTGTATATATACACATATATATACACATATATGTGTGTGTGTGTATATATATATATACACATGTAGAGAGAAATGGAGTCTGACGCTGTCACCCAGGCTGGAGTGCAATGGCGCGATCTCAGCTCACTGCAACCTCTGCCTCCTGGGTTCAAATAATTCTCCTGCCTCAGCCTCCAAAGTAGCTGGGATTACAGGTGCATGCTGCCACAGCTGGCTAATGTTTTTGTATTTTAGTAGAGATGGGGTTTCACCATGTTGACCAGGCTGGTCTTGAACTCCTGAGCTCAGGCAATCCACCCGCCTCAGCCTTCCAAAGGGCTGGGATTATAGGTGTCAGCCACTGCCCCCAGCCCAAAACTTGATATATTTTTAGATTATTAATCTTTTCTGCCTTAAAATATTAGCTGAAGTCTTTGACTGTGATGTTGGCCTTGAAATTTTTATACAATTATTAATTCAGATTAATCCAACATATAACGAGTCAATACTGACCATGGATCAAGTCCTGTGTTAGATGCTTATTTGATTTAGCTTTTAGTCGTTTGGTCTCATTTCTCTTTCCTTGAAGACAAGACTCCACATCACAGGTCTTCCCCTTAAAATTTCCTTGCAACTCAATATCTTGAAAAAAAACATATTTAAACTTACTCCTCCTCCTGGTTTTTTGTTTTGTTTGTTTTTGAGACGGAGTTGCTCTTGTCACCCAGGCTGGAGTGCAATGGCACGATCTCGGCTCACTGCAACCTCCACCTCCCAGGGTTCAAGCGATTCTCCTGCTTCAGCCTCCCAAGTAGCTGGGATTACAGGCACCCACACCACCACTGGCTAATTTTTATATATTTTAGTAGAGACAGAGGTTTCACCATGTTGGCCAGGCTGGTCTCGAACTCCCGACCTCAGGTGATCCACCCACCTTTGCCTCTCAAAGTGCTGGGATTACAGGCGTGAGCCACTGTGGCCGGCCTCCTCCTCCTGTTGAAACTGAAAATTTGGTGGTCCTTTGACCAACATCTCCCTACTTCTCCCAACCCCCAGTCTCTGATAACCACCATTCTACTGTCTCAGCGAGTTAGGCGGTTTTATACTCCATAGCCGAATAAAGTCACGCAGTATTTGGTTTTCTGTGCCCTTGGCTTATTTCACTTAAAATAATGTCCATCAGGTTTGTTCATGTTGTCACCAAATGACAAGAATTTTCTTTTCATGTGGTACATATACCACATTTTTTAAAGTCCCATCCATCTTTTGATGGACACAGGTTGTGTACATCATGGTAAGCATAGTTCATAATATATGTATACTTGAAAATTCCTAACAGAAATTAATTTTAAGTATTCGTCACCAGCCGAAAAAAAAAAAGGTAATTATACAAGGTAAGGCGTATATTCAATAGATTGATTTTGCTATTCTGCAATGTGCATATGTATATAAACCTCATGATGTACACCATAAATATATATTATTTTTACTTGTCAATTGGAAAGAAAGAAAAGAAGGCCAGGCATGGTAGCTTACGCCTATAATCCCAGCACTTTGGGAGGCTAAAGCGGGCAGATCAACATGAGACCATTCTGGCCAACATGGTGAAACCCTGTCTCTACTAAAAATACAAAAATTAGCCGGCCATGGTGGCGGGCACCTGTAGTTCCAGCTACTCGGGAGGCTGA